TAAGTAATAATAATATAACTTCAGGCTTGGTTCTTCTAATGTTAAGGGAATTTTTATATCTTTTTTACTCTTAGTAACAAGCAGATGCTTTACTACAATAGAACCTCATAAATATTGTGCTTAGACTGTATGTATTGTCTCTTGTAGTTGCATTGGAAGGAAAGTTTATCATTTTAGAGATTTGAGAAACTTTAATAATCACCTGAAAGGACTCAAATTTATAATCCATAACTTTTACAAAGAATCAGAAAATTGTATGATTAATAGATTCCATTAAATCTTTCCCAGAAACACTTTTTTAAGTTAGTTAATTTTTAAAAAATATTTTATTTATTTGAAAGGCAGAGTTAGAGAGAGAGAGAGAGAGAGAGAGAAAGCTCTTCCATCCACTGATTCACTTTCCAAATGGCTGCAATGGCTGGAGCTGAGCTAATCCAAAGCCAGGAGCCAGGAGCTTCTTCTGGGTCTCTCACACGGGTGCAGGGGCCCAAGCACTTGGGCCACCTTTCACTGCTCTCCCAGGGATGTTAGTAGGGAGCTGGATTGGAAGTGGAGCCGCCAGGACTTGAATATGTGATGCTGGTGCTGAAGGCAGTGGCTTTAGCTGCTACACCATGGGGCTGGCCCCCAGAAACACATGTTGTATTGTGTTCATGAATACTTATTTCCCTGCCATTAGAAATCCATCCTGGCTTATGTCCCTTGGAATAATATTTTCAAGGTTCATTCATGTTGTTAACATGTGTTAGAATTTCATTCCTTTTTAAGGCAGAATACTGTTCCATTATGTGTATATCTTTTCATCTACCGACGTACATTTGGGTTATGTCTTTTGGATGTTGAGAATAATGCTGTTATGAACATGCTGTAGAAGTATCTGCTTGAGACACTGCTTTAAATACCTTGGGCTATACATCTGGAAATGTACTACTTATGTGTGTAAAATCTAATGAAAAAGAGAAAAGATGTTTACACTTAAATACAATTTCTCTACTGAGATGGTCCTATAAGGCCAAATGGACTGAACAACTACCCTAACTACAAGAGGTCTTCAAAAGTTCATGGAAAGTATGTACTATGAAAAAACTATGCATGAACTTCAAAATTTTCTTGCACTTCTCTCTCTCTCTCTCTCATTTTTGAGAGCTGGAAAGACAGAGGGAGAAAGCTCCCATCTCCTGGTTCACTCCCCAAGTACTCAGAACAGCTGGATCTAGGATAGGCCAAATCTGTAAGATAAGAACTCAATTCAGGACTCCCATGAGAGTGAAGGGAACCCAATTATTTGCCTCCCAGAGTCTGCATTAAAAGAAAGTTTGAGTCAGGAGCCACAGCCAGGAATTAAACTCAGGTACTCCCAATGTGGGATGTGAGTTTTTTTACGTAGTGTCTTAATTGCTAGGCTCATCACAACCCCTAAATTTATCTTTTGACTCCATTCTTCTACAAACTTATTTAAATGCTCACATATTCTAAAATATAGCTGCGGTTCTAATGCCCCAAGGTATTAGGGAATTCCATTTTGATAAGAGGTGGCTATTTTTTAAAGTTCAAGACTGAGAGCTTGTGGCTGGTGCTGTGGCATAGCAGGTAAAGCCACTGCCTGCAGTGCTGGCATCCCATATGGGTGCCAGTTCGAGTCCCAGTTGCTCCATTTCTGATCCAGCTCTCTGCTAATCCATCTAATTCACAGCAGAGGATGGCCCAAGTGCTTGGGCCCCTGAACCCACGTGGGAGAACCAGAAGAAACTCCTGGCTCCTGGCTTCGGCCTGGCTCAGCATCAGTCATTGTGGTCATCTGGGGAGCGAACCTGTGGATGGAAGACCTCTCTCTGTCTCTAACTCTGTTACTCTGCTTTTCAAATAAAATAAATAAATCTGTAAAAAAAGGAAATAAAAGGCTGAGAACTTATATTAAAGAAGTAAAATGTCAATATCACCAATAAAATGTTGAGAGATTCCTTTTCATTGTTCCAATGTTTTCCCTTTGATTGACTAGAGTGCCCTCATGTGTCAGCCTTTTTAAACTCTGGATATTTTGAAAAAGATTTAATTTTATAATCATAGAATTTTTGAAAAAAATTTAACATAACCTGCATGCCAGGTCCCATCCTAAGCAAAATTAAAACAAAAAATAAATAAAAAACAGTGATCTAAATCACACATCTTAAACTTTAAAAAAAAGGGACTGGTGCTCCACTTCCAACCCAGCTCACTTGTAATGGCCTGGGAAATCAGTGGAAGATGGCCCAACTGCTTGAGCCCCTGCTCCCAAATGGGAGACCCAGAAAAACCTCCCAGCTCCTGGATTTGGCCTGGCCCAGTTTTGGCCATTGCAGTCATTTGGGAAATGAACCAGCGGATGGAAGGCCTCTCATTCTGCTTTTCCCTCTAATTCTGCCTCTCAAATAAGTAAGTAAATCTTAATTACAAAACAAAACAAAAAAAATTTGAAAAGGAGGGAAAGAGAGAGAGAAAGAGGTCTTCCATCTGCTGGTTCACTCCCCAAATACCTGCAACTGTCAGCAGTGGGCCAGGCCAAGGCCAGGAACCCAGAACTTCATCTGGGTCCCTGAGGTGGATGGTAGGAACACAATTACTAGACCGCCATCTGCTACTCCCCAAGATGCAGGAAACTAGATTGGAAATGGAGAAGCCAGGACTTGAATTGGCATTCCAATAGGGAATGCCGGCATGCCATGTGGCAGATTAACCCGTTGGGTCACAAGGCCCACTCCTACAGCTACACTTTTAAAGAATGAACAATCATACCCTGCCTAGTAAGAGTACATTACTGATACCTTACAGGCTCTGAATACCCTTCATAACTTGCATTACTCAAGTTATCCCACAGAGATAACACTTCCCCAAATCCATAATTGATCATCCCCAGGCTCCTCTTTATGACTTCACCATTTGTGTTTATTCCCAAAACAATATCTTTTAGGGAAGCGGTTCTTATTTTTGACTCTTGCATAAATTGAACCCTATTATATTCTTCTGTGACTTATTCTATATTTTTAAAAACTGTATTGATTCATTTTCAAGTCTTTATGGTATTCCAATTTATGAATATACTTTTTGATAGTTACAAGTTATAAGGAATATCACCTTGTGCTCCTATGCAAGTTTTCTGAGGTATGCATGAGGATTAGAACAGGGGCCTTAAGGTGTTCACATATCTAATCTTTCTAAAATAACGCCATTTAATTTTCCAAAGTAGATGAGAATAGTCTATAAAAATTCCCTTCTCCCATATCCTTGCCAGCACTTACTTGTCAGACTTTTACATTTTGGTCTATTTAGTAAAAATGTTCAATGTTCTTTATATTTGTGACTTTAATTTGTATTTCTATGATTATTTATGAGACTGGCCATTTTTTCCAAATATTTACATTCAAATTTATGCTTTATCTTTTAAATGCCTGCCCATGCCTTTTGTCTACTTTTCTATTATTGGCACAGATGAGTGCAAAAAGCATAAATATACTCCTTAAAGACTAATTTTAATTCAAACAACTATATAACCACTACCTAAGTTAAAAACATTTTGCCAACAGTATAGAAGCCCCTCCTTTATCACAATCCTGTTATTTCTTGAGAAGTAATCACCACTTTGACTTCTATAATTATCTTGATTGTTTTAACACCTGGGAATCTTGAACAACATATTTTAGTTGTGTCTGCTTTGTATGTTATAAAAATGGATTTACACACAGCATACATTCTTTTGTCATTGGCATCTTATACTTGCCATTATGTTTCTGAGATCCCTGTTTTATGCAGCTGTAGCTTGTAATTTTTGTTGCTTTATAGTATTTGTTTTCTAGCAGGGTTTTTTTTTGTGGTCTAGTAGTTTTTTTGCTATACAGTATACTACTATTCATTGAACTGTTTTGCTGTTAGTCAACACGGGCTCATCTCAGTTTTTTGTTCTTATAATACTGCTAAGTACATTCTTGTAATGTTTCTGGATACACTTGGGCAATATTTTCTCCAGGGTTTATACTCCACAGAATGGGGCTGTTAGACGTATACATATCTTCAGTTGTACTAAATAATTCTAATTGCTTCTTGGCCTTTTGGCTAAGATCAAGTATATTAAATAATTCATTTTCCAAAGTGGGTGTAACAATTTATACTCTTACCGGTGGTATGTAAGAATTCCATTAGTCTACCATGATTGCTATTGTCAGTTTCTAATTCATTTGGTTTTAATGCATTTCCCTGATTAATGTCTGATCACCTTATATAGTCATTGGCCATTTGGACTTCCTTTCTAAAAACATTTTATCTTACCCATTTTTCAATTGTATTGTCTTCCTCCTTAGTTCTTACATAGTCTGGATACAAGTTTTTTTGTTTTGTTTTGTTTTGTTTTGTTTTGAGATTTACCTATTTATTTGAAAATCAGAGTTAGATAGAGGGCTAGAAACAGATCTTCGAACCACTGGCTCACTCCCCAGGTGGCCCCAATGGCCAGGGCCGGGCTGAAACCCAGAAGCCAGGAGCTTCATCCTGATCTCCCACGTAGGTGGCAGGGGCTCAGACACTGGGGTTATCTTGCACTGCTTTCCCGGGCCATTAGCAGGGAGCTGAGTGGAAAGTGGAGCAGCTGGGGTACCAATGGGTGCCCCACGTGAAGCCGGCGACACGGGCAGCAGCCTTATTTTACACCACCATCCTGGCCCTGGATACAAGATTTGGTCAATATATGCATTACGTTATCTTCTGTTTTTCTCTTTATGATGTATTTTGAAGATTTTTTTTCCAGATTTAATCTAGTCAGATGTCATCTTTTCTGGCTGGTGTTTTTGTAGCACATATTCCTATCTACAGGTCATTAAAGCTGTTAATGTCGCCTTTCGCATGTAGGTCTCTGGTCCGCCTCAAGTGTGTGTGCCGTGTACTGCGTGAAAAGAATCCAATTCGTTTCCTCTCCATTATGCGATGTCTTAATCATTTGCCAAAAGGCTTTGTTTCTGCGCTTTTCATTTTACCTGAGGTCCGTAGGTGCCAGGCCGCTATTCTTGTGATTTTGCTAATAAAGAACGGGCTGCCATGTTCCTCAGCGTTTTGGGTTCGCTCAGGTTTTCATTATTTTATGTGAAGCCGCCACTTCAAGCTTAATTCGCCAGTCAACGTTTAACGGGATAAATACGTCACCCCCTAACGGCCCGGGGACCGACAATAAGCACTTCCGGCCAAGGCTCCACCCCGCGGCCGCCCGCGCCCGCCTTTTCGCAGAGGCCGTAATCCCCAGGCGCCGGGCCGCGAAGGGCGCCTGCGCCGGGAGACGCCCCGCCCCACCCCCCGGCTCTTTATAAAGCCTCGAGCCTCTCCTCGCGAGAGACTCCGTGCTCATGCTCGCTGCAGGGGTCGGAGGTCAGAGCGAGCGTCTCGCGGGCCGTAGGAGGAAGATGGCGGTGGAATCGCGCGTTACCCAGGAGGAAATTAAAAAGGAGCCAGAGAAGCCGATTGACCGCGAGAAGGTGAGGGCCTTGGCGCTGTGGGGTCCGGGAAGACGTGGAGGTGCGCCGGGTAGGGCAGAAAGGCGCGGCCTGTGTGTGTGGCGGTGGAGAAGACCGTGTGTTTGCTCCCGGCGCGGCTGGGAGGCCGCGACGCTTCGGGATGGAAGAAAGCCCGGGCCGCCGTGCTTAATTTCTGCCTTTTCCCTCCCCTCGCCTCTCCTTCCCCTAGACATGCCCGCTGCTGCTGCGGGTCTTCACCACCAATAACGGCCGCCACCACCGAATGGATGAGTTCTCCCGCGGAAACGTACCGTCCAGCGAGCTGCAGATCTACACTTGGTGAGCGCGGCGGGGGCGGGCCAGGCCCCTGGCGGAGACCTGCGACGTCCGCTCCTTAATTGCCTTAGCTAGAGTTAATCTTTGATTCCAGATTTTCTCTTCCACTGTGGGCCTCTGGGTGCAGCTCCGAGAAAGTTAAAAAGGTTTTTACTGTTAGGGGAAAGGGGATTTGTTCATTTTTTTTAATGCTTTTAGAATTGTCGCCGAAACTTTTGGGTTAAGAATTGACAGACCCAAGGTTGCTATCCTGTTATTGCTGCCTGATAGGAAAATGATAAGAGTATGTACTTAATTAAAATTCCATACCAGACTTAAGGGACTCAAAATTGTATCAATGGTAGTAGGATAACATAGTAAGGGTACGGGATGCTGTTGGAGTGATCCCTGTTATCCTAAAGAAAATTTCGGCTTAATATGAAGCCTTAGATGGAGAAGCACTAGGGAAAAAAAAAGACCAAAAGCAGTTTGTGGAAAACCAACACTTTTTTTTAATTCATTTGAGAGTCAGAAAGAGTTCCCAGCTACTGTGTCATTTCTCAGATGCCTGCAGTGACTGGGGTTTAAGCCAAGGCTGAAAGCTGGGAGCTGTAAACTCAAACAAGTAGTTGACAGGGACCCAACTACTTGAACCATCCCCACAGCCTCCCAGGGTCTACATTAGCAGGAAGCACGAGTCAGGATGTGGACATGGTTATTGAACTTTGTTGGCACTCTGTACAGGATGCAGATATCTTAACCACTAGGCCAAATGCCTGCCCCCCCCAAAAAAAAAAACAACAACCCATACTTGTAATTCCATTTTCCATGAACTTTCTAAAATATATTTGTATATTATAAATGTGTATTGTCATAAATATTCACTGTATTAGAATGATCTATAGAAAATGTCAGGTTTTTTTTTTTTAAGTTGTTTCCAAGACAGATAAATAATTCTGACCTCAGAGTTTATGTTAGTGTTGGTGTTCAATGGTGACAGTTAAAATAACCAAGCTAATTGTTGCAGAATAGAATGTGAACTCTGACAGGATAAAAAGCTGTAGACTTACATAACAATGTGAGTCCTTATCCGAAGGCTTATAATTTCTTCAGTTTGAGCTCTTTTTTTCCAGTTAAAGTAAAATTAAGATTTATTTATTTGTAAGGCAGAGCCGCAGAAAGAGAGGTCTTCCATCCACTAGTTCACTCCCCAAACAGCTGCAACGGCTGGAGCTGGACTGATTCAGAATCAGGAGCTTCTTCCGGGTCTCCTATGCGCGTGCAGGGGCCCAAGGACTTGAGCCTGCTTTCCCAGGCCATAGCAGAGAGCTGGATAGGAAGTGGAACAGCTGGGAGTCGAACTGGCCCGTATGGGATGCCAGCACTGCAGGTGGTGGCTTTACCTGCTATGCCATAGCGCCGGCCCCAGTAAAATTAATTTTTATTAAAAATATGTTTTCTTGTAGGATTTAAATTTTTGTGTCATAAGTCTTCACATGTAGAATATGCTTGATATATTGGGGAATTTTTCTCTTTACTACTTTTTGTATAGGCACAGAAGATGCCTACCGGGACCAGTGTTATAGCATAGCAGGTTAAGCCTCCAGCTGTCACCTCAGCATCCCTTATGGCAATGCCAGTTCAAGTTCTGGCTGCTGGCTCCACTTTGATCCAGCTCGCTGGTAATGGGGGTTGAGGGTGAGGCTGTGGAAGATGGCCTAAGTGCATAGGACTCTGCCACCCACGTGGGAGACCCAGATGGAGTTTCTGGCTCCTGCCTTCTGCCTGGCCCAGCCCTGATGGGCACAACCATTTCAGGAATGAGCCAGTGGATGGAGGATCTATATGTCTCTGCTCCTTTCACTCTGCCTTTCAAATAAGTAAAGTAAATCAATCCTTCCTTCCTTCCTTCCTTCCTTCCTTCCTTCCTTCCTTCCTACCTACCTACCTACCTACCTACCTACCTTTTTTAAAGCCCATAGTGATGTTAATGTCACTATTTCTGATTGGTGAAAATTGGGATAACTTACTATGTTCTTATGTATGGCTTTTCCTCCTTGGTGAAATTTGGGATGTAATTTACCATATTCTTATGTATTGCTTTTCCTCCTTCTCCCTCTTTCAATAATAAGCATTTATTAAGTTGGGCCCCTTGCATGGCTTGCACAGAAGGGCTTTGGATCTGGAACATTCCTTGAAGAGACTTTAGTCTGTCTTTGAGTTGTATGTGTGTGTGTGTGTGTGTGTGTGTGTGAGATTTATTTGAAAGGCAGAGGGAGAGAGATCTTCTATCTGCTGGTTCATTCCCCTAATGGTTGCAGCAGTGGGTGGCTGGGTCAGGCCAAAGCCAGGATCCTGGAACTCGGTCCTTGTCTCCCATGTGGGTGGCAAAGGCCCAAGTACTTGGACCATCTTCCGCTGGTTCTGCAGGCACATTAGCAGAAAGCTGGATCAGATGTGGAGCAGCCGGACTCAAACCTGTGTGCATACAGGATGCCAGCATCACAGGCAGTGGCTTAACCCACTGCGCCATAATGGCAGCCCGAATGTTTGAAGAGTATTTTAGCCCTGTTGTGGGCTTGAGGTATACTGCTGTGTTTTGCTTACGTGTGTGTGTGTGTGTGTGTGTATGTGTATCCAGCTGGGAGTAAACAGAAGTCCTTTGCCTGTAGCATAATGGGCGCATGTAGACCTTGTGTTGGCTTCAGGGCAAGACCTAACCATGGGAAACTCTTACTGTTGAAGGTGTTCTTACCATCTCTTCCCTGTGTGAGCAAAATGTTGTTTGAGCCAGTGCCAGTGTAAGTTGTGTCTGTATTGGTGAAACACCTGAAAATCATGCAGAAACTTGACGTCCTGGGACTGCTGCTCCTTGTGCAGACCTTGGCAGTGCTGTCTGCAGTACGAACTCCTGGGAGTTAGTACAAAGTGATCTTGCTTTGCATATCAGTTTTATATAAAAATAGAACTAAAACACTGAGAGATGGGTTAAAGTAGAGAGTTAAAATTAATGAGAGGTTGAAATAAAACAGTGATGTGAGAGTGCAAGAAAAAATTAGGTTTCATGTGTATCTAGGAATAGGAACATTAGGACTTTGTTAACAGGGTGGAGATAAGAAATGAATAATGCTTGGAGTGATGATCTGGGCAACAGAGTGGGTGTTGGTTTTTTCATAGAAATATGAGAGGAGGGGCATGTTTGGGGGGAAAGATTTTGAGGTCCATTAGGGAACTGTTAAAGACTGGGGGGCCCAGCACTGTGGCATAGCAGGTAAAGCCGCTTCCTGCAATGCTGGCATCCCTTATGGGTGCTGGTTCGAGTCCCGGCTGCTCCGCTTCTGATCCAGCTCTCTACTAAGGCTTAGGAAAGCAGTAGAAGATGGCCCAAGTCCTTGGGCCCCTGCACCCACGTGGGAAACCCAGAAGAAACTCCTGGCGCCTGGCTTCGGGTCAGCTGTTATGGCCAACTGGGGAGTGAACCAGCAAATGGAAGACTCCTCTCTCTGTGTAACTCTGACTTTCAAATAAATAAATAAATCTTTTTAAAAAGAGAGAGAGAGAAAAAAGAATGATTGGGCAGCAGTGGAAAATAGAAGATGGTATGGTCATATTGTGTTAACAGAATGCTGTTTAGTTTCCAGAAGTGCCTAGTATCCTTGTGCTGGTTTATAGCACTCTACAGACAATGCTTTTTCAAGTTCCAAACAATCTGATTTTTCTAGTTATGGAAAAAAAAATATATACTAGGTGGTTACTGTATCTCAAATTCTTGTATTTTAGAGTTTTATAGGTGGTAGCTCAAAGGACTATATGGGATTCTTATTTCCAAAAATATTTTCAAGGGACAATCTGTTGTGAAAGAAGCTTGTGTTTAATCTTGAGAAAACTTTGTCTCATTGGCTCCAGGATTCCATCTGTTTTAAACTGATAAGATCACATCTAAGAAAGAAAAACAGTAACTATACCTAACACTTTGATTCGAAGACGCATTCCAGTTTTAGAGATGAGAAAATGTGGAAGAGTGCATGTCTTAGCAGTGATGAAATGTGGGCATTTGGCGCAGTGGTTAAGATGCTGCTTGGGATGTCCACATCCCATACTGGAGTTCTGGATTTGGGTCCAGGCTCTGCTGCTGCTTTGAATTTTTTCTCTTAAGAGTTTATTTGAAAGGCGGAGTTAGAGGGAAAGATCCTCTGTCTGCAGGTTTACTCCCTTAATGGCCATAACACCTGGGCTGGGCCAAGCCAAAGCCAGGCGTCTGGAACTCCATCCTGGTCTCCATGGGTGGCAGGGGTCCAAGCACTTGGGCCATCTTAAACTGCCCTTTCCATGCATGTTGATAGTGAGCTAGATTGGAGGTGGAATGAGTAGGACTTGAATCAGTGCTTATATGGGGTGCTGGCATCGCAGGTG